ATAACAGATAATATTCCAAACATCAAAGAAAAAATTAACTTTGCAACTCACAATATCAGAGAATTCAATAACCAAATTAAATGCCAATAATAGATCACATACTGCTTGCAAAATAACCTCTATATTATCTGTTATTGTATTTTGATGAGGTGTATTAGTTGTTTGGTACATGTTTTGTTGGTAGCTTATTAGTAGTAAATTATTAGTAGAGATTGGGTATGAGTTGGAGTTTTCAGCTATAGTTTTATTGTTTATTGTTGTTTGAATTATGAGTTATTTCCATATCTTCATCAGTGTATTTGATGTTGTTAGTTGGTGTGGCAAAAATGTTCCAAGTTGGTTCAGGGAGATCTAGAAGGTTGAAGATATTTGTTGGAAGGTTAACGTATGTGAAATTTTCACTAATTAGTTTTATTGCATCTCCTACTTTTTTATAATCAGTAATAGGAAATACAAGCTCGTTATTAGGAATCTTTGAGGCAAGCAAGTTATTGAATTAGTCGATTATTAATAGTAGTGTGATAAGAGTATTATCTTTAGATTCATTATCTTTGTTTTTATTTTTTTTGATATTGATCTAGCTGTTTGCGATGTTTTGGAAGTAGTAGTGTGCTCAAAGGTCTTTAACTGCAATTAATAGTTGTTGAGGTGTTGTGATAGGGATAGTAAGGTTTACCAATTCTACTTGTCTGTAGTCCCATAGTAGGTCAGACTTTTTTGTAGGATTAATAGACATATAGGCTGGTGAAAATGCTGCTGGAATTGCATATATTGGAGGAATTTCATTTATAAATACATGTGCTGTGTGTTTGTCATCTATAGAAAATTGGTATTTATTTCATAGTTATAGCTTGTTTGGGTCTTCGGATAAGTGACGCTTCTAAATAATGAAATCATTCGGCAATCAGTTGAATGAATAACTTACTTTTAGTAATTTTATATAACTTCTGAAGTCTTCTGCATTGCATAGTAGAAATAGAAATATCTCATACAAACGTGATGTGAGTTCTTGTGGAGTACAGGGGAGTTGTGGCTTAGGTCCAAGTAGTTCAAAGTATGTATCAGGTATTCTTTTGAATATGTAGAGAGTTTGGAGTTTGGCCTTATATTGAGATAAATTCTTGAGCTCTAAGTGTGTCGTAATGGGGAATAGATCTCTAATTGATTCGTGCAATCCCCATGGTATATCTGGAAGAGGAGAGCAGTTATTGTCAAAGTATGAGTTAGGAAGGTTAGTAAATTTAAAGATGTAATGCAGAGTGCGAGCTATTGAACTAGTTTGTCTTTTGTCTTTTATTGTGAGTTAGAATGGTAGTATTTCTTGTATTTCTTGATTTATTTGGTCTGAGCTGTCTGGAAGGTCTTATAGCTTTTCTGCTTTTGTTTCTTTAATAATCTTATTAATTTCATCAAATTTTAGTATCGTAAGTATTTTAGCAAAGCCTATAAGGTAGTTGATATATTTAGTTGCCTCAAATAAATCTATTTCAAGAAGGTTAAGATTTAACAAGAAGTCTATAGCCAGTTTCATCCTTAGTTTCATAAATATCTGGTCCTGATTTGCTTTGTTAGTAATAAGTATATTGTGTTGCTTTTTGTATATTTCTAGTGTATTAATCATTAGAGTATTGAACTCTATTTGATGAGCTGGGCGAGAGCTTAAATTGCGAGTAAATGAATGAAAGAAGGTATTATCTCGGTATTTGAATTTCATTCTGATTGCATATAGAATTTCTATATTTATTAGTTTTGTTACAAGTTTTTGCTGTAAGAATTTAGTTAGTGCCTCTTTATTGCTAAGAGAGTTGATGATGTTGTCAGGGTGCTATTCGTGTAGGTCAAGTAGTTCGAGTTGCTTTTCTCTAAGGTTGTTGAGGGCTATTGTTAGGCTATGTATCTACTGTTTTTCTGTTTCATTTGTTGTATAAGGGCATGAGTAAGGTTGAATTCCTTGTGAGGTGATTTGGCTATAAGTAGGCTGAGTTATTTCCTGTATTGTACTAGTAGACGTTAAATCAATATCATTAGTGCTAGTACTTTGTTCTATATTTAGACTTTGACCTAGTTCCCATTCTGAGACCTGTTTGTTTTGGTGTGCCCTGCGTATGTCGTGGGAGTTTTCTATATGAGATATAGATTCTGTATTAGACATGGGAATTTGGTTTGTATTGTTTGTAAGTCTTTGTTCTATATTAGGCATCTGACTTGGATTTGTTGTTTTTTTAGAATAGGGGAGTGTATTTTGTTTAACAGTTAATATTGGAGTAGAATCGTCACTTTTTTTATCTATATTTTTTTTTGTTGTGTTTGGGAAGAGAATGTAGTGACATATGGTTAGTAGTATTATAGCTGGTTAAGGCTTCGGCATTTGATGCTCTTGGACGCTTCTTTGCTCTTTTGTTATTATCATTGGTTTGAGTTTGAGGAGCTTGAGTAGATTCTCCTGTTTGTGTTTCTATCAGTATTTGTGATGTTCTGACATTATCAGCAACAAGTTGTCAAAGAGCAAAGGTGTTGTAAGAGTTTTATTATAGTTCCTCTTAATCTTGTTTGTAGTGAAGGTAACTAGTAGAATATGTATTTGTATACGGAGCTTTAGTTATTTAGTTATTTAATTTGTTATTTTCTGAACTTATTTGTAATATATTTTATTTCTTATTATTTTAAGATCTGCAGGAAAGAGTTTTTTTTTAAAAAGACCATAACTTTTTCTACTTTATCCGTTTTATAGTTAAATTATAAAAATTAGTTAATAATTTATTATCAGTATTCTTAATTCTTTTAGAAAAATTTTTAGAAGCTAATAATTTCAAATTCTTTAACTTAATATCTTGTAATATAGTTAAATAATATAAAGCTAAATAAGATTTTAATTTTTCTGATCTTTCTCTTGTCTATAATTTAGAACAATAAATATATTTGCAGTATATTATCTATTTTTAGATAATTCTTTAGTAAAATAATCTCAAATATGAGATTCTTTGTAGCTTTTTTTCTTTTTTTTAAAACTATTAAAAACAGAATCAGAAATAATAATACTCATATAAATTAGATTATAATAAAATATGTGGAAGACCAATTTTATGACGGCCAGACCCAATGTACAGGACAGGCTTTGGACTCTTGCACAACTATGAAAACTGGGTATACGGCGAGCGACCCTACAGAAGAACTATCCTTCCCTTCAGTTACCAATACATCATCTCATACTGAAGAAACTACCTGTTTTAACAACTTCCTACTAATAAACAAT